TACACATATCCATACCAGTTTTCATTTTGACTTTAGCTGCTGTTCGAGATAGTACATTTGAAGGCTTGTTTCCCACGCTTTGTGGACCTTCGGTCTTAGATGTGACATCGGTAGTCTGTATAGCTTGCGACCTCAGAATCTGTCATGGCTTCTACAGCCAGTCCGCATGGTGTGAGCAGGCTCTAATGTATATATATATATATATATATATATATATATATATATATATATATATATCGCTAGGAGAAAAAGGTGCGATAAAATTATAGCTGATGAGCTCAGGGTATACAACGAGGAATGTTAAATGCTACATTTATACAAAACAAATGATGACCAACTACCATACTTCATGTAAAAAAACAGCTAGCAAGCTCAAAACAGTCTTCTATTTCACGCCGATGGCCTGCGAGCGAGGACGCGGGGCGACTTCGAGCGGCCGCGTGGTGCCGTGCGTCGCGCGCTGGCGGGGTCACGCAGTGCGCCGCCTCGGGCGTCGGGCGCCGGCGGTTGTGTGTGCCGCCGCCGTCAGAGTGTCAACACACGGCGTCGGATAAGATTGCCCGCGGCAATCAGCCACCCCGCAGCACCAGAGGCATGCGGCAATCAGCCACCCCGCGGCACCGGGGCATGCGGTAATTTATCGAACCGGCGCCGGTGCTCTGGAGGTGGTCGGCCGCGGCGCCCGCGAGGATGATCCGGGATAATCCGGGATAATCCGGTTTACGGCACGTATTTGGTTTGATGGCGTTGATGAATGGGAGGCATCAGCGTCGGTGCATTGCGCCGTTAGATGCGTCATCATCCACGTCTTGATAGACGTTCAGATAAGGGATAGATAGAAGTTAAGAGGCTTTTTACATGGGAAGATTGTGTTTGTGTAGGGTTGTCACTAAACTCAGCCACTTCAGCTTTGATGATATCATTCAGTGGTTATCATTCTATGAGTCGGAACTGCCCAATCGCTTTGCAGCTTGACGTCATGCTCCGCATTGCAGACCGCAAGCCTGTTATGATTCAAATTGGCAAGGTAATAAGGCTCATCAAAACAAGAGCACCGGCACTAAAACAGCCTTTCGCAGGCATCTGCTTGCTGCAACCACAGAACAGCTTATACAGCTAAAAACGTAGAGCAGCGCTTTATCAATTTATTTTGTTCAATCTGAGTCATTCCAATGACCAACTTGGGGTCCAGAGTAGGGGAAGCTGGGGCATTTCCGAAGATGGTGTAAAGCCGAAAATTGTGACATCGATGGCAACACTGACACCAACCGGTAGGTGCGAAAACTTTCAGCTGAGTTGAGGACTACATGTTGGCTGTGAGGGATCGATCTGTCACAACAAGTAGAAGTGGAGTGAGGAAGGCATTCGAAGTGAATAAAACCTCCTTCCACACGGACTAATGGTTTGAGCTATTATCATGGTCTGGCGTGTTCTCATGCACGCGGCGTTTCGACCAGCTAACTCTCCGGACGTCCTTTGGTGTTGTGGAGGTCTGAAGACTGGATGATTTTTCGGTTTCAGCCATGCACGCGCCGGAGCTCAAACACACACAACTTACGGGATAGCCTGTGCGTGAACGTCTTGTGTTACGTTTTGAGGCCTCTAGATCATGACCTTCGGGTCAAATAAGGTCAAACAAGCCCAAGCTCCAGATTGGTGTTCGAAATGGCCTTAGACCTCCCCATGCAACTACTTTTGAACTAAGTGTCTTTTCTAAGCAAAAGATCACTAGTGTTTGCTCCTATTTTGGCCTTCGGAAGGCCAAGGTTACATAAAAAACTCTAAGACCCTTTTGACATTTGAGTTGAAATAAGCGTCAAGGAATGATTTAGGTGACATACCTCTGAGAGTAAAACGTCGGCTGTTCTTTTTTGTTGAGTCGTCCATGAGGCGACCTCCTCTGGCCTCCATTAAGTCCAAAATAAAGTGTCTGTTGACATTCCTGCGATAAAAATTTGCGCTGGGCGTTAAAAGCTGCCTCATGAAGCAAGTCCTTTATTGAAAGCACGATTTGGTTTTGACCTCGGCGTGTCCTTCATACCTGACTTATGGCTAATGGAACTAGTTGTTCCCTTAAATTAAGTTGTTTGATTGTGCAAGGAACTACCTCGAAGACGCATGTCTGTGTCTAACACTCCGCTGTTGCATCGGATCGAACGATTCCTTAGGAATTGCCTTAGCTGATAGCTTTGGCCTGACTTTGACCTGCCATTGGTCAGCGACATGGCAAGGTTCATCTAATTTTGTTTACCAAAAGATCGGCTATTCAATGTCCCTATAGCCGCGCCGTTCGTGAATTGTTCTAGAAAAAAATATTCGGGGAGGAAATTGACCCCCACTCGAGCGCGTGCTTACGGAAAAGTTGCCTGCGTCTTGTCTTAGACCGGACAACAGAGGGTTTTATGTGACCCACCATGTTCCCACACAGCCGCTCCGAACCCGTATCGGCCAGTTGCCAGCTGACCTTTCCATTTCAGTTGGATCACACAGTCCGCCCGCTTGATGATGAGCCCACTCACGATAAGCATGTTAAGCCATCAAGCACGAAGATTTCCCAGAACTGAGTCACTGGTTGAGACTAACGCCAGGTGGCATGTCGGCTTGTATCAACAACACAAATTCACATTATCGCCCCAAATGAAATGATAAGAACTTGGCAACGTGTTGCAACAGCAGTGCAACACATGACACACCGATCGGATTTCCATGAATACAGTGAGGGCGTTGTGCTAAGTCTGCGAAAAACGTCATAAGCTGCGGGAGAAACGGCACGAGCTCTGATAGCTACGCTAGCATTCGTCAGCAAAACCGTGGTGATCTGGTGGGACCCTCCGTGCTACTTGGGTTTAATGGGGCTGGTACACTCAATCACGCGCCTTATATCCTTCGTATTATCACCCTCATACTGATCAACGTTTTGTCGTCCACGGCCGGACACAGACACCAGAAAACACGACGAGGATAAGACAGGATCGACGACTGTCCCGCGCGAAAAACAGGCCAGTGGTACACAGGCCACCATGAACGTTGCGCTGTGCGACATCGAGGGCCTTCAACGATCGTGTTTAACATGTCAGCTGTTAGCAGCGCGGTGGTATAAAGGTATCGACGTTGCCACACGGTATTTATGGTCCTGCCGCCGTAATCGCGAGCTTTCAGCGCTTTTTACCACAGTGCTAGCGTGAACGCTTACGAAAAACCCTAGATATATGGGTGCACTGAATGCAATAAGCTGGGTGCCAAGTGACCGCTGCAGTCGGCGCGCCCGAAAACACCAATAAACAACAACAATGAACGCAGTGAGCCATATTGAGCGTTACGCACGCCCGGACCCCGCTCAATCACGTCTTGCCGTTGGTCGTCTGCCAAAGCCCTGTGCGTGATCATTTGCTTAGCGTGAGCCGCCCGTGCGATCCCAGCAAAATTCTGCAGGGGCGCTTCTGAAGCCAAATTATCTGCCTACATGTTCACTTCACGGCTTTAATTACTCACCGTCTCGTACCCGGTCCTCCATCAGGAAAGTTTCGACAGACTGAAATGAAAATCACGGATGTGCAAGAGGCGAATTCAGTTACCGGGCGCTTTTTCAACCACGCGTGGTAGTAGGTCAGCAATAATCCCAGGCCGTCGAGACATATGCGCACCTTGGGCGGAAGTAAACCTACACATCGGTCAGCTCGGCCGCGTTCCTCACTGGCAAAATACGTACCTGAGTTGTTACCTATGACGTCGCAAGTACCCGCGTCACACATAGCCGACTAATTGCCAAGTCGCAGGAGCTGTTGTGACGCACTTCCCTCTGACGTCATGGGTTGCAACTTGTGGACAGCTGTTGGTAACGGGGAACGCGGCTCCGGGCAGCGATTGCCCCATTTGCCATACTTTCAGCCTATCGAACGGTGACCCAGATGGCGGATAGGCGAGTCGGGCACCGTCTCGATCCACGGGCCGGCCGCCTGCTCGCCGCCGACCGCGGCAAGAGCACCCAGCATAAAAATCGGCCAGGCCGCCGTGACGGGATCCGGCATCTGGAAGCAAAGCAGTGTCGGTCCCATTACGCGATCTTACCTGCGAAGGCCGCGCTTCTCTGTGGCGGACGGGACTGCATCCGGCACCGAAGAGCTGGCCGCGGGGGACGGAGCGTCCGGGTTGTCCCCGGGGGGTCATCTCACGATGGACGACGTTGCCTTCGGGAGTTGTCCGCCTCGAACTCACACCGCAGGGGACCGAACTGACGCAGACACGGAAGAGTGTCCCTGTAGCGGTGCGACGTGCACGCTTCAATAGGTGGGTCACCGCTAGATGGCGCAAACAAACGTGCTGGGCGTGGCGCTCGCATATGGCGTTGCGTGAGAAACGTGTGTTTTACTTTGTTTACACGGTGTTAGTGGTGGACAATTCTATCCGTGTTTGACCTAGTAAATAAGATGGCTCAGCTGACACAAGTCTGTCTGCTGACAGGAGAAGGCAAGCAGACACCGGGAGGCCATCATCGCTGTCTGTCGATTTGTCTGAGCGGAGCTGCCGAGCCGCGATGTCGTACGACACCGTGCAGCCTGACAACGGCGTTCATATCTCCTTGATCTGCCCCGGTCTGGGGGTGTTCCCTTTTTTGTCAGCTCCGGGTCTGTATCATCGCGGTGCCGACACCGACGTTCCCGACCGGATCAGCACAACCAACGCAAAATTGGTAGTCCCCGCCACTCGGTCGCAACCAGCCGGTTGACAGCACGGGCGACGAGTGCAAGCTTACCCGGCGGTACTGCTCTGCACGGAGGCCTGGACTGTCAGCTGAGGGCAATTATGGCAGCTATTGCCACCTTTCACTGTCGCGGAAGATAGTGACAAATGCGACACCACGACTGGGTAGGGGAATCCGTAGCGGGGTAGCTGTCGAGCTTGGGTGCGAATGGCTCTGCAGTTCACCTATTCATGGTTCACTAATGCTCACGCCTAAATTACCAACGCAAGGAAGTCGACACTTGGTAATGAACAGCTGCTAATAAAGTTCTTTTTATTTGTTTATCTGTGTCATAAATGCACCAAAATACACCTCAGTACAAAGCTATTTCAGTATTCACACTTGCCACACACAAAAATGACAGGCAACGATTGCAGCCGAACGTTACCTACAACGCCGCCGAAAAACGCCGTCATGGCAATAACCAAAGAAACCATCGCCATTGGAACACAACGGCACAGCTCGACAGCAAGCAGCCAACCGAGAGGTCGCATCTCAGACATAAAATCCTGCTGGACGCCCATGATCTCATGCGTGCGGCAGCCGTCGGTAGGTCGGCCGGCGCCGCGGCGCCTCGCCGGACGGCGGCGGAGGGCTCCGACCCGTGCGCTACTCGCTGCTGGAGGTGCCGGCGCCGTTCCGCGTGGGCCGGCGCGCGCCGTGCGGCCGCACCGTCACCTCCGACTTCCCCAGAGAGGCCATCTTCTGCACGTGAAGCGGGTATGGCTGGGTCACGACGCCTGACCGGTACAGCTCCTGGAGACGCAGCGCGTGCAGGTCTTTACAGCTGCCGGCGATACTGGGAGGGGGGGGGGGGGGGGGGGGAGCGGTACAGCTGCTGGAGGCTCGTGCAAGGTTCTTAAGCCCCTGGGGACAATGTGTCTTGGGGTTAGTACAGCTCCCGATCACACCATGTCTGGAGGTCAGTACAGTTCCTGATGACACCACGTCTGGAGGTCAGTACAGCTTCTGATGACACCATGTCTGGAGGTCAGTACAGCTCCTGATGACACCATGTCTGGAGGTTAGCACAGCTCCTGATGACACCATGTCTGGAGGTCAGTACAAATACTGATGACACCACGTCTGGAGGTCAGTACAGCCCCCGATGACACCACGTCTGGAGGTCAGTACAGCTACTGATGACACCATATCTGGAGTTCAGTACAGCTACTGATGACATCATGTCTGGAGGTCAAGTACAGCTCCCGATGACACCACGTCTGGAGGTCAGCACAGCCCTTGTGGACGCCGCATCTGGGATCTGCACAGCCTCTGATGACACCATCTATGGACACTGACAGGTCGGCCATGGTGTGCTGGGGAACATAAGCGTAAATCACGACTGCAGTTATTTTTTAACGTTGTGGCTTGGGATCAATCCACGGCCATAGCCATCGATCTCCAGGTGCAGTTTGAAGAAGGCAGTGTATGGGAGTGGGTAAGCCATGACCGCACATGCACACTGTTTAAATTGCCATGTTCCGCCTGCTAGTTTTACGAGCGTGCGCATATTTCCGTGCTCAAAAATGCTCCAGTCTTTCAGTTTGATTCATAATGATCTGCATGTGTGGCTTCGGGTTTAGAGCACCTGCTAAGCATAGCTTGTCGCGTGCGCGCTGAGCCCATCGCCCAAGTCGTGCCGACCAGTTCAATGGATAATCTTGTCCGCGCCCTTTCACCAGAAATAAATGCGGAGGATTCCACGTGCCGCAAAATGCTGCGACACGGCCGCCCCGGGCCTGGGTTGACCCTCGTTGGCCGGCTGCCAGCTTACCGTCCTTTCAGTCGGGCCAAACAATACGTCCACTCTGGGGCTCGTACCCAGTGCCGTTAGACTGCGAGTCCAGCGTCTTTCCCCTAGACCACGGGAGCTACAGTTGTGACACGGTTGTCTACAGATAGTGATACAAGAGAGGTGTTGAGCTCACGGTTTTTCGGTATCATGAATGCAGATCTGTCATCCTGACACTCATCGACCTCCAATGCATCAGGAGGTATTGGCCTATAGACATGATCAAGCAAACATGGGTTATATTGTCAATACTCGACGCTTCAAGCTGTCCTCATGACCAAGAGCGCTGACTTCAATCGTTGCCATACGCACGACTTAAAACGTCCAGTAGTGACAATATAACTAATGTTTGCTGGATTGTTACGGCTTTAAACAGGTACCTCCTGTTGTATTGCAGGTAGATGACTCAGCATAAGAACCCTGAAAAACAGAGCAAGCACGCATTGGATAGCAGCGTTGGAGATACAACTCGAACGCCGCACATTTACGCTGCCGCTTCCACAACCAAGTCCAGGCACAGCATCTAAAACTATCGTGCCTTGTAACTCTATTGCAGCTATCCGTATCTCGAACTGGTTACTTTTAAATAGCTACTGCTAACTGGAGTTATGTGGTCTCTTCCCCGCGACTTCATTTCAACTCGGACGTGTACAACTTCAACACGGCCGTTGCCCATTACCTGATGCAGGGACGAAAACCCTTGCTTCCTTCCCTGCTTTCAGCCTTACATGTCTCATCCAGGAAGGATACTAATCGCACTCAGCCCTATGTGCCCCATCCAGGGAGGAGGCGGCTCGCTCTCAGCACTCCGCACCCCATCCAAGGTGGAGACTGTTCGCTCTCAGCCTTACACGCCCCATCCAGGGAGGAGGCGGCTCGCTCTCAGCACTACGTGCCCCATCCAGGGAGGAGACTGTTCGCTCTGAGCGCTACATGCCCAATCCAGGGGGGAGACGGCTCGCTCTCAGCACTACGTGCCGTATCCATGGAGCAGACGGTTCGCTCTCAGCCTTACATGCCCCATCCAGGGAAGAGGCGGTTCACTCTCATCCTTACATACCCCATCCAGGGAGGAGACAGCTCGCTCCCAGCTGGCCTGGACTCAGCCCGCTCACCTTCAAACTGCCGATGACGTCCTTTCCGACCAGAGAGACCTTCACGTCCAGCTCTGTGCCGGTGAGGCGCGGCACCTCGGTGGACGCATGCGTCGTCTCCACCTGCGCATGCCAGATGAGCTCGGCTCAATTTCAGCAACGTAGCCAACGTGGCAGTGGCCACGGAACGTTCGACACAGACGCTCAGGCGGACCCTGCCGGTCGCTGCATAGCTGCGCTCATGTCAGTTGTTGTGCCTTGTTCATCGGCCGTCTGTTCATACGGTCCCAATCGCATGTGCACGTATCATTTCATGCATGCACAGGCGTTCGCATTTACACAGCTGGCCCTCTGCTAACATATCGTTGATAAACAAGCTGGAAAGTAGCATGTGTCAGAGTATGTGACGCGTGCACATACAATTATATGCTTTCCCGCCGCACACGGGACGCATCTCGAGGGAAACCTTGAACGCAACGCTGGTCAGGCCGTGCGACCTGACTGAGGCATCACAGTGAGGTCGGCTGCGGGCAGACGCCGGATCGGGCGACGTCACGAAGCCGAGGTGTCGCCGACACCGGCGCGTCAGCCAGCTCACGTTGTAGGTGATGTTGGAGATGACCGGCAGCTCGGCGCCAGCCGGGCCGAACATCAAGTCGGCCAGTTGGTGCCTCTGCGACATGGCCAACGCCTGGACACGGCGCGGTAAATATCAGTCAGCAACCATGTGGCGGAGTGGAAAATGTATGGTTAGGTGGCTTGGATTTCCAATGAAGTGCAGATTAGAATGAGTTATACAGGTGGTTCTTAGAAGCCTTATTTATACCACATCCACAAATGATGCACTTCTATTAAATGTAAGCATTGGGCAGGTGACATTTGCAATTTCAAGGTTGATTGTTGTGCTTTACATATTAGTTACATTATCTTTACTTCTATTTCTTATGTTCATTTCATGTTTTTCATACTCCAAAAAACTAGCACCATAAAACAAAACAAATAATTACACTCAGAACTGTGGTTTTATTGTGTCATTTTTAATAGGCCTAAGTGCTATTTCACCTATGGCGCTTAGGCACTTTTCCCTTTGAATAACGGACGGGATGAAATCATGCTGGTGGTCTGAATCTCACTGACCATGCAGAAATACACAAAAATCACAACTTACAAGGTCATCATAATATGCTAGCTTAGGCAGTCTGACAAATGGACCTCTGTAGCTATAGTTGCACATCATCTGCTTCATTGTGCACTCATATCCCATGCTGACTTTTCAGTACATGAAAAGCTGAAGTACATTTGAGCACATGACAAAGTCAGAAAAATCTGCATCTGCTAATGCCACAAACACTATGGGTCTCCACACCCCTGGACTGTAGCTAGATAGAAAAAGATATAGTGAAGTCTAGCATGGAAAGGTAAAGACAGCTTTGTGTGAGAGCAACTATTTCATATATTTTCTTCCATACCAGGAATGGCATTCTGGGATTTTGCCATGATATGGTACAACATTTCCAGCATGAGCTGCCCACCATCAACATCTGAGAGCATATATCCTGCATCCATGATGCCTAGCTGTGTGCTAGTACCACCTGTGACAAATTACTTCAACATTTTCTATAAATCATGCGTGGAAGTGGAAGTGTGAATGCTTAAGTAAATAAATGTTGAATTGTAATGCCTTTGAATAATGCTAAAAGATGACAACCAAACCAATTGAACTTAAGCATAGACTAGTAATTGTCCTACTTCCAACAACTAATGCAAATTGGCTCAGGGTTTAACCTGAAGGTAATGCCATCAATGAAAAGCTGGGATGAAGGCTAACAATTCAACTCATTGGAAATATATAAGATACATCTACACATATGGCCCTCCTTGTACACCTGTCTTTTAAAAATCATGTCATCTACATATAATCTACACCTACATGAATTACCACTGATGTAATGAATTATTTTTTAGACAGAATATGTCTCCTTGCCAATACACAAACAAAAGTTGCTGGAGATGTGGTTGTGTGGAGTTTAGAATAAAATGCCTTGTGAAATGGCATAGCTTTATGTGTCATGTTAGAGAAGTGATGTCTATAATTTTGTGTAATGTAAATTATGAAAAGCAGGATTCTGAAGCATCACAACTGTCTAGCAAAACAAAATGGGACAACCAACTGCAAGTTGGCATCTAACATGTTGTGCTATGAATTGTATGTAGTTCCATGTGCTAAATGTAGTTCCACTTGCTACAAAATGTCCTGGTAATTCACCTGGCCACAGATGTATTGTCAGCATTGTTTTAATTTTTGCAACATCACTTTGTGGTACAACTGATTCATCACTTATGTTTGGTGTACAGGATATCTAAACAAAGAAAATAAAGCCACCTTCACTTCCTTCTATTTTTATAATGCATCCCAGAAATGATAACATGACTACAGTATCTTGTCTTCCTAATCAATTAAATTAAAGTTCCCTGTGAAATGACAATTAAGATCAACTAAGGTGACAACCTCAATACCAAAGCTATTACCACCACTTTTGGATGGCTTAAAGGCAAAATCAAATTTTACTGAATCCTGAAACATGAACCTGGACCAGTGTTAACTAGCCAAAAAGATTGCTTCTGGTAAAAGATGGATCTAAATCTCTGGGATGTTCCTCTTACCAAACCAACCTCCTCAGATTCTGCATGTGTGCTCCCATGCCATTTCTCTGGTTCACTTATCTTAATGAGACACAAGTTATCATTTTACTGCAACACAAATATGCCTACTGCCAAAGTACCCAACCACATGGCCTGTGACTCAGAATTCAGAGAAGTTAAACATCACAGCCAGTCTCTCATGAGCCAGTTGATTAAAAAAAAGCAATGACAAAACATGTGCAACCACTTCTAAAGATACTAACAAGTGCTATACTCAACAGGTCTAACCTTTAGGATCCAGCCGAGCATAACTTGTGAAGATAATATTCAGCCATCTAACCTTACAGTGTACTGTTTGAAACGGTTCAGAGATTTATCAAACGTGAATGCCTTCATCTACAACCAAGCTGTGCAGCAAATCTATTCTCTTTTCAGTATTCGATCACCCATCTTTGACGATTAAAAGGAATGAAGTACATATGAAAATACATGCATCCACGAGCAATAGTTGTCTATTTCACCTTGTTTTGCAAATATTCCAACACCGACCCAGCGCTTTAAAATCTACTCACCGCAAAGTAGACTTCAACTAAAGAGGTTTTGCATATTCAAAACTGACCGCTCAGCATTTGCCTACACTTCGCAGGTTTGAGCTCAAAGAAGGCCGCTAAACTACAGGTGCTCAACCGAGCTTCAAAAAACTGCTTCGCGAATTACGTCATATTTTTCGTTTATCACACGTCACCAGTCCACCCTTGGCAACGCACTGTTTTGTCATATTCCCTAACTATGGTGGCATTAGGTCGCCATAGTACCATTTGTTGAAGAGGATGGTTTGTGTCGAAAATGCGGTATGGAAGGCGGAGCCGACGTCAAACAAACTTTAAATTAAATTTGGCTTATTTAAATATTGGGTAGTGTGCCTTACGATAAGTCGAGAAATGACCGACATGCATTTTGCCGAATTTTCTTTTACCGAGGGCTTTCAGCCCGATGTTTCTTTGTCGACATGCCTTTTGCCGCTGTGTCAAAATAACGAAATGTAAAAAGCCGATCACCATTACACCTACGCATTAATTCATCGACATGTCCAGCTTACGAAATGTTTTGAGTCAAAATGCAACCATATTCGGCGAATACCAATTTACGGGCATGTTGCTGGTTGAATGCTTATTCGCTGAAATTTTATTTTGATTTATTGTCGATAGCCACAATGTTTCTTGGATGAACGCTTTGTCTGGCATGCGCTGTAGTTGAATGTTAATTGCTGAAACATTCTTAAGTCGGCGGCTTATTTGTTGACATGTAGTTAAGTAGCATGTTATTGGTCAAAATGTTCTTTAGTGGAATACTAACTGCCAGAATGTTCTTTATTGAATGATGATGAACCGAAAGTTGTGTAGTCTAATTCTATGCGCCAAAATGCTGTTAATGGGCTGTTGGTGTGGTCTCTTCAAAAGGTATTTTGTGAAGGTTCAGTTGTGGCGCAGGCTGGTTTCATTTAACCTGCATTGGCATCCACGTTGTCAGATCAGATAAGGTCATAATAAATATCCCTGGATCCGTCGCCCATGTAGCTCCAATGATTTGTCAGCATGGACAGGTGAAAAAGAAGCCCCTCTGGTCTCTTTCATCTCATTCTGTTTAGGCGTTGGCGGAAACAGTTGTGGGGCGTTTATAAATAACGACACGCGTATTGGCGAATTTTCTCATTCCTCACCTACTTTTATTGCTACGCCTGTTTCCATAACTATCCCAAGTATCAGGGATATTGATTCCGCTCCACCAACCAACTCCCGCCAATGCGCACTGTAATTTATCGACGACCTGCACAGTTTGCGCTGGTTAGCACTTCAGAAAATTGTAATCGTAAAGTTACCTTTCCACAAAATGAATCGGGTTACTAGATCATTCGATAAATGTTGGTGCTCTTCCCAAATCGCTAGTCGTCAAATTGGCCTGTTGACAATAAGGCATTAGGACAGCTGAGCATTCAGTGGTTTTCCATTCATGTAATTGTCATTCGCTCCTTTTCTATTTCGGTCCACTAACATTCCTTAAGCTATCGCTTCGACCAAATAGTTTTCGGGCAGTAGGCATTTTTAATTATTTGTGTATCGGCAATTGACGTGCTGTAAAAAGGCATGTTGCCAATATGCATCTCACCTTTTTTAGGCTTGGTTGCTAAACATGGCGGCAAAAAAGGGCGGCAGACCGCATTGAGGTGTTTCACAATCGGTGACATAGCAGTCGCTTAAATATCATTCTGCAGATTGTCCTGGAACCGCATCCCACCACCTTGCTCTCAGCATGCTTCACTCTTCATGGATGGTGATAAGGGCAAAGTGGGTTTGTTTAAAGGGAAGGTTTCATATCTTGAGATCTTAAGGCAAGCATCAGTGTAATGACATAGGCTCATTTATAAAGATGAGTATTCTTGTAAGTGGTTAAAAGTGCCCGGGATAACAAAATTTATTCACAAATTTAGTAAATATGCCTTTCAATACGTCATGGTTTAAATGCGCCATGGAACGCTTGTATGACAGCATTCCGTTGTAATTCTCCAACCTTCTGAGATGTGGCCCGCGGCGATGCCTGGGTCTGTGCTGATCCAAATATCGCTAGGTCATCGCGTTTTGGCCCTGTTTCGGGATGTTCTGCATATCTGTCCATGAGTTTAAGGTGCTAACTTGTATTCAAATATTCGGTTATAATGATTTTCTTAGTTTTATTCTATTACAAATCAAATTTCCGTAATAACTAGGAAGTATGTGTGATTTCTTGTATTATCTAGCAGAAAACATAGCCTGCATTCCAGCTCAGCATAACTTGTACAAAAGTGGATGAGAGCCCATTAACGGCCATTTCATCGGAAGTCGTGTTCTTGAGCGCATGATACGAACGGCTCCGCACTGATACTTTTCTCGACCTTGAGCGCCATGTGACCGGTAGAATGACAGAATTTGAATGGCGCTGCTATGGGTCATGGATGCCTGGGTAACCTCGAAACAGCTTACACATCTTTGTGAGTGTGAAGCTCAGAAACTAGCGGATTTTAGGCGTTTTGAAGGACAGGGTTGTAAACTGCATCGAATGACCTTCAAGACGGCTTTTTAATTCAAAATCCCACACAAATGTGAAACATTACCTTTAACCACGCAAGGTTGACGGCTCACTTCTCGGCGCGCAGCTGCAGGGTACGGGGAGGGGAACGACTGTACTTCCCTTCATGAACAGACACGTAAAACAATAAAACAGGCGAGCGCACCAGCACCGGTAGCATGCGGTTTGCGAAACCGTTTGCCCGCTATCCACTGGTAAAGACTTCGCGGACAACGATGTATGGATTTCCGAGTTGGGACTTGCTGCAATGCTCCGCAAAGTTGCATGCAGTTTTTAAAGATGAGCATGGAGTCCAGAGGTCACCAGTAACAGAAATGCTGGTAAAACTATATACGTGCTTTTTATTGGTGTTGATTCGAAGGAGATGGATTAGGTGCCTCCTGAGGTTGGGGCTGGGTGCATGGATGGCGCAGCGAGGTGGCGTGGTCGGTGCTGTGGGATGTTTAAAGAGTTTAAACAGCGTTGCTTGCATCATCTTATACCCCCACAAGGTCAAAAAACGGACAGCATATTGCTAATTGTTAGCAAACCCGGATTTCGTCACAAAGTATTGCACAAAACTTGAATTGGGGAATCTTGGTCTCGTCTTTAAGGCGGGTGTTTCCATGACCCCTAAAACTGGGACTCGGAAGAAAGCCCAGATTTTTTTCAAAACAGGATTTGTGAAACGTTGCTCAGCCTGCTGTAAATGTGTCGCCATGATCGTTGAAAGCCAGATTTGAAAGCAAGTTCAGATTGAATGATACCACGTGAAAATTAGGCTGACGCACCCCATACAATTTGTTCACTGAAGACGGTCACCAAAAGCCACGCAAAGGGAGAGCGAGCCCACCGCGCCAAGGTGGATGTCTTTCGTGACATTCGCCGACGGAAGTCCACCAGCGGTGACCCGAATGCCTGCCCGCATCGCAGCTCTCCCAGGTGTACGCAAGTGTACATACACGCCTGTCTTCCGACCGGAGGAGCAGACAGATAGTGGTCATGCGCCATATAACGTAGTGGGGAGGGCGTCCATGGTAGAGGCCGGGGAAGTGTGGCCGCGGGATGCTCACTCCTGGAGCTGAGTTTGATCACAGGTGAGAGTGGTGCTCTGGAGCTCCGTGTGTAAGACTACATTGAGCTCTGTATACTGAGCTCCGTACTGTGTGCACATTGAGCTTTGTATACTGCGCAGGTACGAGACTGGAGCTCGGGGGTTCGGACATTCTGCGAGGCGCGTCCAACCGCCTCCTGTCCGTGTCTGTTCTCTCCCGGCGGAGGCAGGCCGGTCCCAAGGGACCAGCCTTCGTCGTGTTGCGTGATGAGCCGGCGATCCAGGTCAGGGCTCGGAGATGCGTAGCAGCGGTCACTGTGTCAAGGTCGCGCAGCCCTTCCGCCGCGGCTCCGCCATCGGATCTGGGGCGCTCCCGGTCGGTAAGTAAATATCCGAGACGGATTGGCCTCTGGTGGCAGAGACCAGCCTTCGTTTTTGATGCAGTAATGCAGCAGGTGACCCATCGTTAAATGTATCGAGCACCTGGTCGCGGTTGAGAGGAACGGAAAAACGTAGGAACGTGCCGAGAAGAACGTAAGCAGGATTTTGCATTGGAGCGAGGCAGATTTTTTAAAATTTGCTGAAAAGTGGTTAAGCGTGCCGCAGGGGTACACAATATCTTGCGTGTCGTGTAGAATGACATATTTTCCGTAGCATTTTCACGAGTCTGCCCGGAGTTTTATCTGTTAACATTATGCAATTATTAATAATTGTCCTGCATTTGGTAAGAGGTGCATCCGAAGGCTACCATGCGCGTACGCCCCTGCTTCAAATTATGAGTACCTAAATATATTTCGGCTAACGAATGCACACTATGGGTTTTTATGAGTTATGATACCGGCGAATTCGGTTCATTCATTTCGCATGTCATGCAACTAACGGTGTGAATGTGTGAAAAGCCTCGCACGCTCGGGAACAACACGTTACAGACGCAATAAGTGGAATTATGCCGTGTTTTGAGTAAATAATAATGCCCTAGTAACTGTATTTAAGGATTACATGCACAGGTCAAAGTAAGGATGTAAGGGCTTACATGCGTTAGTGAACGAGTTTTTGGCTCCTTGTTCAATTGGTGATGCAATGGCGTTGGAAATTCACAAGAACGCTTACAGTTTACCTAGGAATGACTAAGGAGTGGTAGTTAACACAGGATTGTTATGCATCTGTGTTGATGAGATTCTGAACTGGTAATCTGCTCAAGGCAATCTGTGGTGAATCGTAATGACAACA